TTCATTCATTCATTCATTCATTCATTCATTCATTCAAAAGTGTTTAATTTGTTTTAAGAATTAATTTAATTTGCTTTTGTATTATTTATTTTTTGTTTATTTTAAATCTTTATTTAAATTGTTTTATGAATTTACTTAATTTGCTTTAGTATTTTTTATTTTATTTTTTAAATCTGCCACTTTCTTTAGTCCATGGAATTATTTATTTATTTTGTTTGTTTGTTTTATGAATTTATTTAATTTGCTGTAGTATTTTTATTGTATTTTTAAATATGCCACTTTGTTTAGTCTGTGCAATACAAACAATGACTTTTTGAAGAATATTTTTTTCAAAAACACCATAGAAATATCATAAAAATTGGTTCGACTATGTATGAGGTACGAGGTATGACTTGTGCACTATTTTTCAACTCTATACAATAGTTTTGTGAGAGAATCGGATCCGAATTCAAGTCGTGAACTATTCATTTAAAGTTTGTGCTCTGCTAAAACAAATGGAAATCTCTCACAGCTGATTCCAGAGCTCATGGAGTTCTGGATTTATTCTTTATTTAATAATAATCTCATTTTAATGTTTTCTTTACAGCAAGCCACTCAGACGAGGGCTCAGATGTGGACTCAGAACCGGGTTTGCCATTAAAGAGGAAACAGCGGCGCAGTCGGACCACGTTCACAGCCGAGCAGCTGGAGGAGCTGGAGAGAGCTTTCGAACGCACCCATTACCCTGATATTTACACCAGAGAAGAGCTCGCTCAGAGAGCTAAACTCACCGAGGCACGAGTACAGGTACATCAGCACACACACCTTTGACATTCAACTCTATTACTTCCTGTAAAAGCTTTGTTAGTCATGTGACAACTTTGTCTTACTGGCACTTTTTAGCCTGTATCTTTGTGGAAACGATCACTCTACACACACTTTCTCGTAAGTCGCATTGCTGTTTAAAAAAAAAAAGTAAATGTGGTTTACACTGGGAGACTAAATTTACCAGCATTTATCCCTGCACCCTTTGCCCCGAAGTCACATGACACACCCGCATAAACACAGGCTTCTTTGTGCCACGTCTGACCTCTTGTTTTTACTCTAGTATTCTGTCGCAGAAAAACCTCAAAACAGAATCTTTTAATAAACTCTATTATTAGGTCCTTCTAACCCAGTTAAACTAGAACTCGTGACATGATGTCACCACTTTTTAATGAGCACAGATGTTTCGATCGCAATCAGACCAAACAAGCCTTCGGCTACTGAACACACAAAGAGCGCCTGTGTACACTCAGATACATCACACACACAAACACATTCTTACAGGAATAACATGGTTCCATATCTGGTTCCCGAATAAAGGGGGGTGTTATGGGAAGCCCATGCTGAAATGTGTCATGTTTTAAATTTGTCAGTCTGTAGATGTGTTTATGTGAGTAAATAGTCATTCCGGGTGTTAAATGTAAGTATGTTGTTTGTCATTTTCTGTCCTGCAGGTTTGGTTTAGTAATAGAAGAGCTCGCTGGAGGAAGCAGGCAGGAGCCAATCAGCTCATGGCGTTTAATCACCTGATACCTGGTGGTTTCCCACCCTCTGCGATGGCGAGTCTTCAGCCCTATCAGCTGGCGGACAGCCCTTACCCTCCCTCATCTATCTCACAAGGTGAGAACTGTAAAGCAGAATAATACACTACCATTCAAAAGTTTGGGGCCAGTATAATAATAATAATAATAAACATTAAAAATCATCAAGGATGCATTCAGTTGATCAAAAGTGGCAGTAAA